TCACTTGGGTCTCAGAGATTGGAACCCACAGGGATCTACGCCATCGGGACATAGGAGGGGCCTTCAGAAAATCAGTGGAAGAATTTCCAATATCTTTTCATTCTATTTGAACACAAACCTTTTGAAACTGCCGCATACATTTTAGAATAAGCTTGGACCAGGGAAACTGGCGGCTGAGAGGCCCTATACGAGGAAGATGGTGGGTGCTGAAGAGTTACAAAGTGTTCAAATGTTCTACAAAAAACTCTGTTAAATGTTGCAAAATAAAAAAAGTGAGCCCAGGACACATGGGGTGGGGAGAGAGGCCCCTTGTGGCAAGAGAGGGAATCTGAGCAACGGGGCCCAGCTCTGCCCACCTGTGCGATGGCCAGGTTGGGCCTGCGTCTTGATTTTCTGTACATCTTGAAAGAACTGATGTACTAGCCCTTAATCCTATTCTCGTTATTTGGATTTTCCAATTTAACTTTCCTTTTGCCATATAGAGGGGGCCCTGCTAGCGTAGTGGTTATTCGGAACCACCAGTCAATGGGAGGGAGAAAGGCGGGACTTTTTATCCCAGCAAAGAGTTAGTCTCAGAAGCTCACAGGGTCTCTGAGTCAAAATCGACACAATGCCAGCGAGTTTGTTTTGTTGCAGTATAACAACTAACAACATAAAACTGAAGTTTTATAAATGACATTTTACATACCTATATACTTGAGTATAAGTCGACCCAACTATCAGTCGAGACACCTAATTTTACCACAAAAACCGCATAAAAAATGTGCTGAAAACCTCGGCTTATACACGAGTATATATGGTATGTGTACCCCAGATTAAGGTGTGGAAAACAGGTTTGCTCTGTTTGTCCAGTTCACAATAACAAGGTTTTTTTTTGGTTTTGTTTTGTTTTTTAAAGCAAAACAAACAAAACACTGTTAAAGCTTAACCTTGTGGCTACTGAGAACCAAGGCAAAGAGGCCCCGCTTGCTGTAGTCGACATAAAATAGCTATCAACCACACAGATTGACGGTCAATGATGAAAGGTTGACAATAAGCCTTGCTGGCTTCAGGGAACTTTAAGAATGTTTTGAATAATCCGGCTTATTCCCTTGTTTCATGAGAGGCCAGCAAGTCTTCTGAGGAGACTAAAGTTACTGGACTTAGGCATTTTAGTTATTTTGTTGACAGGCTTTTAATTTCTTTTATTTCTTTTCTGCAACTTCAAGTTTGGCCTTTTTGGGGGGATGGGTGGGGGGTCTTGGGGAGGGACATGGGCTTTTGTCCTTCCTTGTTGAGATTGTGCCCCTCTGGCGCCCTTCAATGATCTGGTTTTGGTTTGGTGAGCTCAGGAATTCCTACCGAGACAAGCAGGGAGTCAAAAGTAAGGCATGGCCGTTTCCAGTCGTTGACATTGTTACCATGTCCCACTTCCCACCCAATCCGTTTTAGATGTTGGTTTTGACTTCTCTGATCTGGAAGTTGTTAGATAGCCTTTCATGGTTAGAATAAGAGAATGATCAAGATTGTTCAGGTGGGGAGAGCCAGGCATTGTGAAACTTGGGATATTGCCATCAAGGTATTCTCTTGTGGGTTTGAAGCAGTTGCTTTTAGCTCCAGAGTGAAATTTGATGGCAGCCTCCTGGGCATTTGGCTTTGTGGCTGTGATTAATGAGGCTGGTTAAGCAGATTCAGAGGCCCCCTATCTTGCCCTTCATTTCCCCTTTTATACCCTCTTCTCCCTTCTGACCTTTCTCAAAGCCCCTCATGCAGCTGTCTTCTCTCTAATAAGTAAGGGGACATGATCTCATAGATCGTTTTCTGTAAGAAGCCAGTGACCTGGGCAGCTGAACACGTTATTCTCCAGCTAGGTGACTGCATTTTCATAAGGAATTCTTGGACTGGCATTTAACCCAAAAGACTTCTCATAATGGTGACATAATTTGGGGCACTATAACCCTGAGAGAGAGAGAGAGAGAGAGAGAGAGAGAGAGAGAGAGAGAGAGAGATATTGAGATTGATTCTGAGCCTGAGCCCTTCCAGTTATACCAAGCAGATGACATCCTCAATGTAAAGCTGGTTCCACAGATAAGGGGAAGCAACAAGCAATGCTTTGAGAAGCTTTAGACTCCTTAATGCCAAGGCACTGCTGCCCAGAGCAGAAACCCGTTTTTTTCCTAAGGATAAAGAGCGTCTCCGAGATACAGTCAATGAATATGATTGGTCTAGCCACAATTCCTTATGTGATGTATTATAATCCTGGATTCTATGCGTTTGGCTAGCGTCTCCTTTTGGAGAGAGTTGTCTGCTACCCTCATTAGGGTTCAGGTGGGATTAAGTCCTGACTTGAGCAGAGGGTGTGCACCCAATCCACCCTTTGTTTCCCTGGGAGTATGGGCTTCTAAAAGACAAAAACGAGACCCCCATCACAGCCATCTCTCTGTATAAGCGCCCAGGAAGAAATCCCAGGAGCACTTCCAAGATCTGTCTGAAGTGGTGGAGGCTGAGACCAGAGGCCGTGACCATGAAACAGAACCAAAAAGTAGCAACAAGACCACGAGACTGGGAGGCAGGGCAGTGGGCTGGCTTCCTGGTCCACCGAGGGACCAGGGACCGCGTGGCTGAGAGTGTAAGGACTGAGGAGAGAGTTGGCTGCTGGCTGAGAAGTGTTGTGAGCCATTGACTGGATCCTCAATGTGTTCTAATCACTCCCCTCATAAGCCCCCTTAATCAGGAGTACTGTCTGTGGTTCAGTGTGGTCCAGGTGATGGAGTCCCGCAGAGACGCAGAGTGCTGCGGGGGGGACCTGTTGGTGTCAGAAGATCAAGAACGTTGCCGTGCACAGGCTTATCTGACCCCTGCGTCATGGCGATAGGGAAACCAGAGGAGGTCATAGATGACCCTCCCCAGCAGTTTTCTGCCATCTCTGCTTGGAGTGATTGAGGAAAGATTGCTAATTAAGGAGAATATCGGCTTAGTGGCAATGTACTAGACAAAGTAAGTCCTGGTGGAGTGGGTCTGCTTGTGCTTGTTTCCCAGTAGAGAAGTGTGTTCCGTGGTTTTCATCACATCTCGACTCACAACAGACCCGTAAGTAAACACAGGTAAGCCTGTGCTTACTTAGATTCCCGGGTACTCTGCCCCGGTTAGGGATTGCAAATTTGAACAGGTTTGGGTTCTGTAGCAGGGTGTTGTGGGATAGGGAGACAGACAGATGGCAGCAATACCTAGAAGCAGAATCTTTGAGGTGGTGAGAAAATGTGAACTTGTTCACCAGACATTAATTGATAAGCAGAAAAAAGCCTGTCTGTTTACCTTGCTTCTAGGGTCATCTGATCATTGAATCGGGTGTAATAAAAGATCCGTCAGCAGGGCGTGCAGATTTTATATCTAAAATATAACGTTAGCACACCAGGCGGGCTCTTTATATGGCTTTAAAAACATGTTTTTAATCTACCAGAAATTCCTCCAGGCCTGGAGTGTCTTTGCTTACTCAACTGCAGTCAGTGATTTGATTAAACCGCATGCCCCTGACACAGAACCCGGAGCCTGAAGGTGGCCTGCGGCCCCAATTACTTTGCTGTGGACTCTGTTCAGAAGGTGGGCCGTGAACTGTGAGTTTCTTGCTGGACTATTTCTGTTTCAGTATGAACTCAGGTGCTCCGTGGTAAGGAATTATGGCTTCGAAGACCAATTTGATGCACTGAAGAGTCACCCAAAGTGGTGAGGCTGTGCCTGAGAGGAGAGTGGATGGCTATTGGGTATAGCAGATGGCACCACAGGTTTTATGTCCTTTATGTAAAACTTAATCTTTGTCATTTTAATTTTACAAAAAAATCGATGTAATGTCAGTGTAAGGGTTTTTGGGGCGCGAAGCAGAATTAAAGATCGAATTGGTAAAGTTTTAGAAGCAGGCTTTATTGAGAAGCTTGCGGACCGGTTCAGTAACTCACATATTGAGCTGGTGAAACCGGGTGAGGGGAATTTCTGGTTGCATTTTTATATCCCCTGGTGGTAGGCACAGCTGCATACAGGGACTTCAAAGGGAAGCGCTCATTAATTTTATCTATAGGTCTGGGATGGGTGGAATAAACACATCTTCAAGGGATGCAGGGAAGTGGTCCTTAATCTTATCTATAGGTACAGGGGCAGGTGAAGTAAACATAACTTCAAAGAACATTCTTTCTCGGGGATGTCTGGTTCTCAGAACTGGTGATTTTCAGTGAGGGGAGGGGAGGCCGATGTGAGGGAGGCCCATGAGAGGTGAGTTCTGAGACCCAAGAAGGTGCCGGATTCAAAATGGAATCCCTTGTGCCAAGACCAGGCAGTCAGTAAAACTGTAATGGGCGAGGCACACCTGGTTCAAACAATCTCCTAAACGGAAAACAAAACCCAAACCACATCTTTTGTCCTCACGCTGGTCTCCAGGGTGAGGGAGCGGAGCCGCTCCATGGGCTGTTCTCGGCTGTGCACGTCACGGAAGCAGACCCCCCCAAGCCTGTCTTCCAGCGTGCAGCCACCTTTTTTAGGGTTGTAGTTGAGTGAAAACCACTTGTGCCACCAAGAACCTATAAGAGCATCCTAATGAGCCCTTCCCTCTCCCCAAACCCGTGACTGGAAGTCCAGTTTGACTCCTCCCGAACCTTTAGGACAGAGTAGACTCGCTCCCAAGGCTGCCATCTCTACAGAACCAGACTGCCTCGTCTTCTTCCTGGGGAGCCATTGGTGAGTTCAAACCACCAACCTTTGGGCTCGTAGCTGCGTGCTTTAACCACAGAACGCCTTTACAGCAGCATCCCAGAAAGCTTGCTGGAGAAAGGAAAAAATGTAGCCAGTTGTTACCGACTACTTGACAATCTCGGGGGGCCTTGGGGACGTAGCCACAGGAAGAAATGGTCCCCAGCTGCGGATAGCAGATGGAACCGATCAGGCCTTGACTTCCCTCCCTTCCTGAAAGAAAATGCACCTGCGTCAAACTGGTTCGTTCCTCATCACTCAGAGCCTTGTCTGTCCCTTTCTAGCCCGACCCACCTGAACGATGACCCCGATGGTTCCCATGGCGTCTGGCCCTCGCCTCCGGCTCTTTGCCTGCTTCCGCAGGCTGGCCACCCCACAGGTGGGCCCACTTCAGCTGCACACAGGAGCCAGCTGTGCAGCCAAGAACCACTATGACGTGCTGGTGCTGGGTGGGGGCAGTGGTGGCATCACGATGGCCTCCCGCATGAAGAGGAAAGTGGGTGCTGAGAATGTGGCCATTGTTGAGCCCAGCGAGGTGAGTGGCCCTCTGTTGAGTACACAGGCATGTGTACAGGTGTTCATGTGTTTTCAGAAATGGAGACTTCATGCTAGTGCACCGCCTTCTGGCCCTAAGCAGCTCTTCAAAAGGATTGGGAGAAGGGGGAGGGAGGGAGCAGAATTTCCAGCTTTTGGTGTTCCCTTCCTATGGCCAGAAGACAAGCAATAGCTGTACAACTTAAAAAAAAATCTAGGTTTCTCTTTTAATCTAGGTTTTTAGGGGGAGCAGGAGTGGCAGATGGTGGCAAGGTATCCTCTTGAAAGGTGTTAGTGGCTTTGAGAGACTTAAACATGAATAATGGGGGGGGGGCAGGGAGAGGGAACACAGGAAAGAACAAATGATCCGGCAGGAGAAGCAGACGCCAGAAGGGGAGAGAGACTAAGTTGGAAAGCGTTTCTAAGGCGCTCTATTGACGCTATTTCATGGAAAGTACTTTAAGATTGTCCAGAAACTCCGGGAACATATTCATGATGTTGGTGTTTGCTTGTGTCCCAAGGACCTAGACATGCACTGGGAGGCCTGTCAGTGGGAGGGAAATCTGACATCTAGGTAGGGGTGACAGTAGGGTAAGAAGGGTCCATCCTTTTCAGGATGGCTCCCTATTAGGAAGGTAAAATGTCGAAGAGCAAGGATATCACACTGAGGGCTCCGGTGCACCTGACCCAGCTCTCCTATGCATGTGAGAGTACGACCAGGAATACGGAAGACTGAAGGAGAACGGAGGCATTTGAATTTGGGGGTGGGTGAGGAGTCTTCAAAGCACCATGGACTGTCAGGAAAACAAACAGATCAGCCTTGGCATCAGAATGCTCCTTAGAAGTGAGGCTGGGTCAAACGGATCACTGAAGACAAATGGGTGCATAAGCAAATGTGGTGAAGAAAGCTGATGGTGCCCGGCTATCAATAAGTATAGCGTCTGGGGTCTTAA